AGTATGGTGTGGCGTGCAAGGGCGAGCCACCGGTAGATTGATCAGAGATTATTGCCGATTGTGAGTTACAGTTTATACAGCGTCTTTTAAAAGATAAAGATGGTGTGTTTCAAATTTAGCTGTTCTTTGGGTGGAGCAGAATTTCCATCAGCATAAATAGAAAAAATTAAATATCAAAAAAGAACGGTGTTAGATGTGTCTTCTTGAAGAAAACTACTCAAGAGTTTGTTGAAGGCCCTTTAAATGCTCACAAATCAGAGATTTAGCTAGTGTACATCCCGTTAAAACCGTAACGGGGTGTAAATGAGTGTATTTCGGGGATATCAGGTGCGATTCTCTTTCTACCATGCCATGGAGGTATTCGGGCAATCATCTGACTACTCGCAACTAGCCAGGGTGTTTTGTCTGGGTAGTCGTCGATTCTGGCTTAGTACCTGATAAGTACAAACTCAAGGACTTGTAATATACCTCATACAATACCAATAATACGACGTAATATAATACAGGATGAAAGGATACAGTGTTATTACACAACATAATATAATACAAAATACGTCACATAATATAATATATAATATATACCATATACTTCCTACGATATATTTTCAGTTCATGGTTGATGACAAGTGCGGTGGCGAGTTGCTCAGGTGGTTGGAGCGCGAAGTTACTGATCGCAAGGTCTGTGATTCGAACCCAACCTCCGCCTCTCGACTTCCCCTGTCTAGGCTTGGGCAATCTGCTGTATCCCAGCCCTTCCTTCGGGTGGCATAGCAGCTAGGCACTGAAGCGGTGCTGCAGCCGAACGATGAGGAGTGCGAACGGATTACCTTAGTCGGATTGAAAACATTCATGGGATGAATACTGATATCAAACATTACTTGTGCAAAAATATGGCAGAAGAGAACTTTGGCGATTCACCACTTGGCGATAAAATGCTTCAACGAACTATTCAATTAATTGTATTTTTGAGTGTGATGGACTTCCATCAAGTTTTGGAGCATAAGTAACGTTGAACAAGGTAATCAAATTCTTTCACAGAAGACTTCGATACCAGCGAGACGGTGTACAAACCCATCAAACATTGGAGTAGATGGGGAACCTGGTCATCATGCTCAAGAAATTTTATCATTCAGTGTTCAGAATAACCAAACAGAAGTTGTCCATCCCGTACACCACGTGTATGGATGAGATTTAACTGCATGACATTATGTAAGGTCCAAACATATCACTTTGCCTTCTTTTGGAATCCAATCTAATACAAATTGTGCTCTGCAGTAACTTGTCATAGACACTTTTCAACGAAGCTATCATATATCCGGTTTCCTACTGAGGCAAATGTAAAAAGACCGTGAAATTGACCCTAAAACCGGGTAGTTACTGCATTCGTCGTCTCTAAAGTGGTATAATCAATTCAAATCATCACTCGCATGATCTTTTTTTGCAGGAAGATAGCTTTGGTCTTATTGATCCTTAATTGGTGCACTGAAGGGAGTGATCGAGTGACCAAATTCTAGCCCAACCCATCAGCATATTCAAGGTTCTTGTATATCCATGAATAAAGTCGTATCATCTACAGGATTTGTTTTGGGAAGTCGATTTAGTGATAGACTTTTCGGAATGATTCCGGCTGCAACTGGGAGGTCCTGTTTACCGTGCCACATGTGTATCGATCATCCGTGCACGTCCGGACTCACTAGCCAGACATGTAACCTTGATTGTTTTTGTCCAACTGGTTCCTCGTTGTGCCTGTTTACACAGCGCTTGTTTGTACTGTTTGTTCAATTAATCGTACAGGCCGGTTTCGTTTGGTTCGTATTAGTCTTTTTATAGATTACAGTAGATAAGAACGAAAATATTCTACCTATGCTTTTGAACATACATGTATGGAGTTTGCTTAAATTCTAGGATGTATGCGTGTCGTGGATCACGTGAGCTGCGTTATTGTGCGCACATGTTTCTTGTTGTCTGGACACCATATGGTATGCTACAAAGATCACGCCACTGAGGATGATGTAACCAGTTAGTCAATCAGTGTTGATTTGCTCTCTACACTGATGGCTAACTTGTCACAGACAATGGCGAGATCTCAGTGAGAAGTTATTTTGACAAAACCAGCTGGAAGGAGTTGTTTCAACGTATTGGGGTTAGCTGAATGAAATTTTCGGTTGATTCTGGATAGGCTTTTTGACTGCCGGGGACTGGATTCACGTCTTCATGATGGGGCTGCTATGGGAAATTCGCATAATTTATTGCGAAATAACCAGGGGCACAATGGCGCCTATTCTCACTCATTCCAATGAATTAAAATTTAATCATTAGAAGTTCAAGACTAAAATTGTTCCATGGTTTGTGGCCATAAATCACGGGTAGTTCCCAAATATCCATATATATTTGCATGTGCTTTGTATGTTTTAAGGACCCGAGTCCTGCAGAGACCTCTGTTTTATGGTATACATCATGTATTTATCAACTCAGAAGTGGAGGGCCGTGGTTCCCACTTTGGTGACCGGATGAAATTCCTATCAAAATCCGTCCGACAGTTTTTCATTCTCTTCCTCAAATCTCGAAGCTTGTTCAAGTTTGGCTAAATTCCCTTAGTTTCTGTGTATAGTGTAGATCATGGGTTCTGGAGAGGTGGCTCAGTGGTTAGGGTGCGAATTTACTAACCGGAAGGTCCGTGATTCGAACCCAACCTCCGCCTCTTGCCTTCCCCAGTCTAGGCTTGGGAAGCCAGCCCTTGCGCTTCCTTTTTGCGGCATTGGAGCCAGGCACCAAAAGGGTGTTACCGCTCAACGATTAGCTTTATTATCATGGATAGAGTCACAGAGTTGATGAGGTTCAACTTGCTAATCGGCTGGATAGGTATTGTGCGTTCAGATTTCACCCAAAAAACAAAAGTTTCGTTTTGACACCAGAATGTCTCGGTCATCATCAACCGAATGAAAATTATGTTTACCGATGTTGCACAGTCTCCTTTTCTTAACCTTATTTCGACTTTCCAAGCTTTGTTTCAATCGCTTCGCTTGATTCTACTCGCTTCTCTCGACTGGAGTTGAAATCATTTTGATGAATCTGTGCTTGTTGGAATAGCGTTTTTCCTTCAAACAACAAATACTCCTCTAGTCTAGTCGTTTGGGAGAGCCAGGCAATAAAGTTTTCTTAGATATGTCAATCTGTTCCATCTTCCATCATTTTGCGCTAACAAAATTGTGATGGTGTGTGATGATGGGAGCAAGATTAACCTGTTTCACAGAAACCCTTCGAGCACAAGCGCTGTTCAAAAACGGTATGGAATACGTCATTATCATATTGTTTAACCTGATATTCTTGCGTAGGTGTCGATTGGTATGTAGCACGTGCCAGTTGAATGCACCTACTCTCCTGCGTCATGGTGGCATACGTAGTACATGTGGAGCCGAATAACGTGGGCAGCCGGATGAGAGCAACTACCTAGTGTATTGCGTTTGGTCTGACGCCGACAAAGTGTGAAAAGATAAAATAGATCTGGCCAGTCACCAAACTATTGGAACTTTGAAGTAAGATGGAATCTACGAATATGCAAATGTTCCGAGTAATGTGTGTTTGATGGTGTGGAGATGACCGACTGGTAACAATGAAATCCAAGACGAAAGGATGACATACCATAAAAGAGTCAGTGCAGATCCCTGCAAACTGCCATGAAATCTTTGTCCCTACTTCGTGTTTATGTGGAATTTTCCGGGTTGGAAATTATGTCAACTTCTGTACAACGCTTCTGACTTTAAGTGTCTGATTCAGACACATCGAACTCGCTGGAACTTGCCAATTTGGAGAGTGGGGGTGTTATATCTGCTGATTCGCCAATCTGTTGTATCTGACTGCTGACCCACTCCAGTGCCTAATGCAGGGAAAAAACTCACAGAAAGGAACACAACCGCTATATTCCGAACAAGGGAGTGCGAGAGCGTGAGTGCTTGCGAGTGCAAAAGTACAACGGTCTCAAGCTATTTATTGGAGGGACACTGTCTGAACTTGGTCCAGTGCTCTCGCACGCGGTCTGGCTTTGGTACGAGGCTGCGACGAGCCGCATATTGAGGGGGGCGGTCTAACCTTGATCAAAGTTGACTCTTGCTGCCTGGGTTTGATACAAGGCTGTGAAGCCCTGCATATTGAGGGGGCGTTGTCTGTCTGGTCAACATCCAGCGGGACTGAGAGTCTCAGTAGATTTTCTGCACTCAGTGGGTGCTTCCCCCCTCCTCGATAGGGGGTTACTCCTACTGCAAAAGCTATGCCCACCACATCTTACGCATCCTCTATATGTAAAACGTAATTCGCTGAGTTTCATATAGAGTTGAAGAGATAGCTGATTCCGTTTGGGAACGCCTACTTGTTTTGCGTTTTTAGGGCGTCTGGGTAAAAGAGTAGCTGGTTGTTTTTGGAAAAATATCCTTGTCCCTCTAGAGGGAATGTCATGTTCTATTGGCTTTTATAGTGACTGTGTATCAGGTTTACTTAGAAATGTTAGAGCGCCAATGTGACCGATATTCATTACAAGAAAAACTACCGTTCCACTTCGTGATTTTCAAATGCGAACACTGTTTTCTTCCTGAGTCACTAAAATATACCATAGTTTATGGTTCGCTGAATTGGCCTGTTTTGATCACTGTTTGTCTCACGACAATGTACTTTCAAAGAGAGTGGATCATTAAAAAATGACGGTTTGGATTTTCTTTCATCTTGGTGGGGTTGAAATGATCTGGCTTTGTCGGCAAAAGTGTAAATAAACTCTCTTTTTCATGAAGGGAACTACTCACAAGGTTGCTGAAAACTCTTCGACAGCCCACGACCGGTTTCGCCCTTCTGTTTTGGGCTCATCAGGTAGGCGCAGTCCCCGAGTTTCCATCAACCTTATGTTCTAATTGAACCCAAATTTGACTGTTTTTGCAAAGCATTTGCAAATCAATTTGGTTTCCACGAGAGGCTAAACTGAATCTCTTGTTCATGATATTCTACAATTGAATATGCTGCACACAGGTCACCTCATGTTTCAGTTGGCACGATATTCCAGATATCGCAGTATGTTTTCATGAAATTTTCATAAAATTTCTATCCAAATGGAGCGACAAACAAAGATCGTCTTGACATCAGCCCATACTTTCATTTTTTTGGTTGTGCCGCAACCAACTGGCCACCATTCGCCGCGGTATGTGAATACACTTCCTGTTCTCTACTCTTGCGCTAAACATCACTTTTGTGAGAGTAAATGAGTATCCAAAGTGAGCCAAAAAAACACGAAGTTGTTAGCCCGTCTGGCTGATACGCCTGCGTGGGTACTGTACACAGTACGAAGGCCACACGTATCACACGTGCGCCGCCTGTGCTAACACTCAACCTCTGCTCATTCACATGTGAATGAACATTCTTGCGAAAATGAATTTGAATCATATGCCGGAAGGGTTGGTGTGAGTGACTTTACCCGCATAGTGCGGTAAATCTGGATGTAAGCAGATTCTGTAAGCAGATGGCCACAGGTTTCTTCGTCGCATGACAGACCTCACATTGTCCGGCACGGCCAAGATCTGTGAGAACGTGAATGGCATGTAGACGGAAAATTACTCGAGGCTCGGTCCGGCAAGCTTCAAAAATATTATCCCATTGTCGAACTATGACGCTTTAGATCTAAGCCTGTCAAATTGTGTGGGAAATAACTGGTCCATCCACTTGCAACCACTGGGTCCCCTCTGACTTAAAGGTCATGTGACTCGAGGCGGAGAATCTCATCATCAGTTCCCTGAGTAAGTTCAGGTTAGGACGCAAAGAACCGTACTCTGGGAACTGGATGACAATTCATACTCGAGTTCACTACTGACCTATCTTGATCTTATGAGTGGTCGACTGTGCAGGAAAGATCACTTGTTGTTAGCCTTCTGTCACTTCAGTCTCTCTTGTTATTCAGTCTCATCTTCTGAGGCCCATTTGAACGAAAACGTGCTGAAAGGGTTTTCACTCTTATGAGTGCAGATAAATTAGAAAGTGTTATGTATAGGCATTGTATACTCCTTCTATCAACTGAAAACGGGTCCAAAAGTTCCACCTTATTCTGGCAGACTTTGCCGCGACTTCATTTATTTCAACACCGCCAACTCCATCCATCAGCACGCTCTGTAAATTCAGGCCAAAGCAGTAAGCAGAAGTGCTGAAGCCGTGAATCCACAGATCCTCGCTACAGATTCGGAGGAGAATGACTGGCGTCAGTCGATCGAAACTTTGTCCTTTATTGTTTTCAATGTTGTTGCTACAATATTTTACGTGTACGGTTAAGACATGGAGCAACCTATGATGAGAATCCTACAGTTACCTGATGTTTCGCTTTATCCAATAAATGAAATTAGAAAGATGATTTCGTTACTCAGTTAGGAAAACCAACAATCGCCAGGCTCCCGTAATGAGAAGTTTGTGCGGACTACTTTTATTGATCCTCCAGTATTCGTTGAAACTGAGAGACAGCGTTTGGGGTATTCCAACAGAGCTTGAATATTTGTACGCAGTATTTGTTATTTTCCCAAGAACTATCCAAGTTTGTTGCCAAAGTATAATGCAGTCCAGCTGACGATCAACCCTAAAACTGCAATCAACATGCTGTCCAGACTGAGTGAATCAGCTGAACCAGTTCGTTGGCGCCACTGAGGTGATCGAGTTCTTGTGTATCACATTCGCATAGCTGAAGAGATATGAGCATCGATGGCTCCTCATTCAACGGTGAGTGCACCGTACGCAGGTATGTATGCACGTACTGTGAACTGGCAGACCGGAAAGCTATGCTGACAACTCTGAGTTTTTGGAAGCAAATGAACTGGGGTGTCCAGTGTGCAGGTTTTGCCGGTACTCGTCCGCTTAGACACAAGACTCAGACACACCGCACTGTTCACTGAGGTCAGCTTCGTCTTTCACTGGGGCAGTTTGTTTCAGTTGGATCTTTGCAGTTTCTTTCTACCTGAAGTTAGTTTTTTTTCATTTTCACTTTGCACTTTAGTCGACTGAAGCACTTTTGTATCACACCAGGCAGCTCCATCGTTATATCGTGCAGTTGCTTGAGAGAGGCAGGATGCGTTGCCACACAAAATTCTAAAGGTGATTTTTCTAAGCTTGTCTGCAGCCTATTCACCAAACCCCGGCTTGTCTACGGAGACGAACGCTGTAGCCAGTCGATTCGTCGGTTCACTTGCTTGCCAGCTTGGCTTACTATGGTGATTTGTCGATAATGAGACTTTGAAATCAGGTTCGACCGATGCACCTAATGTGAGAGTTAACAGTTAACAGTGAAAACTCTAGCGTGTGAACTGGCAAGTTGGACATTCCGGTGCGCTCTGGGCTTCAGCGTGTCGACTCATATGCTGACGTAGCAAAGTTGTCCAAAATACAACACTCGTCTCCATTTTTATTCTTGGGTGACAAAAATTCACCGTAAACGGTCGGCCGGATACGCAACAACCAAGAAATGACTGCACAATCGCGTCAGTCTACTTATATCATCTCACTGTGGCTAAGTAGTACTCGAGCATCAACCATAACTTAGGAAAGTTTATCAGGCGGCTATCCTAAGCAAAATGCGTTCACTGTGTCACATGCTGCCGCCTGCATCGTGAAGCAAGAAAGCAGCTAATTCAGATGTTGAATCGATGTGCTGAGAGATATCTGTGTTTTGTTCCCCTCCTGCGGTGCATTTGGGTTGCAAGGGTATATTATGACAATCCGTGGTACTAGATAGTAGCGTGATTTCGAGTGTTCAGCAGATTTTCCAGTGGGGTTACCGGTTGACGTCAAATAGAGTTCTGAATCAGTGTTACGTTCAGGTAGGCAGGAGTTTTCCGTTTCTTGCGGGGCGTTCTCTTTATGCTTTGTTCTGATGATGAGACCACAGACAACCGATGGCTATCAAGTAGATGGGCAAAAAACACATGGATTATTGTTAATCTTTTAGTGTGGCGGTTGATCGACTTAAGGAATGGAGAGTGATTTCGCCTTTCTCCTCCGGTGCTTCCAGTAAAAGGGAATTAAAGCTCGCAGCTCACCAATCGAATGGCATTTGCTTGCTGTGCATCCCCGTATGAAGTTGTTACATTTTATGAAATGTGAATGCCTCATTCGGTGCCTTTAATACGTGTACTCGGTGCGAGGGTGGTTGAGCTACCATAATACAGTTCGTTCAAAGGGTATGCAAGCCGATCACAGACCTGGCATGTTGTTCCAGTTGGCTTCGGTAGTGCGGTTCAGGGTTATCCACGTAGTTACCGTTTAACAAGTCAGCCAAACCCATATGAGAGACTGGATTTAGATACCAATAAGTCGCTCGTAACTACTCATCTCCAACCAGACCAGTGTAGTATACACTGCCACTGGATTCCGTTGGTCCGACATTCAGAGTATCGAGTTCCTCTTCAGAGAGGCCTCCAGTCGATTCCAACTTAACTTGCAGCGAATTCTTAATAGCAAGTTATGGACATTCATCACGTATTATCGAACAAAACATTCATTGTTCGGCTGACCAACAGAACATCGTTTCGATAAATCCAACAAATGAATTTTCTTGCAGTCCACCCAACAGGCACTGAAAGGAGTTGCTGGTTCTGCGTATCCTACAGGACCTGCATAGCTAATAAGGCAAGCTATGTAGCTCTACTTTGGATGTGACAATAAACTGATTGGGTAAAGGAAAAGATAAACTGCCAAAGAGACGTTGATTTGTGTCTCAAGGTGCAATAAACGCATTCGTGAAATACCTCAAAGCGAATGGACAGTTATCTGTTTTGGTGGACGGTTCGAAGCAGACCTCTGAGATGAGGCTGGAATTCGATTCAAAAGGTAAGTGGTAATCACATCCAAGACTGATATTTTTTGTCAGCAAATAGTATTTCACACTCCACCTGGAAGTTAAAAGGACTCCAATAGAATAGACGGATCAAAAGAATAGAACAACCCAACTCCCGTTATTCTCGACCCACTTCTTTGATCGGTGTGCAAAGCACTTTGGTACAGTTTTTGACTAATTGCGCACCAGAGTTCGAATGAGGATGCACAGAGTGGACGGTGGAATGTAAGCGTTGTTCTAGTTCAGTCGCGCGAATTTACGGACGCAGATCATCTGATCAAAACAGCATTTAGATGGTCAAATCATACCAGAACCCTAATTTGTTACGTTGCCTTTCGTTAGTCTGCTGGAAGAGTAGCTTTTGAAATTGCTTTCTGTGCAACCCGAGGATGCCACTTTGGCCCACTTCATTAAGGATGTAGACGTTGAGGGATGGGGGTTTGTAGAGACTTTACTTTGCTTAGTTGACTTCCCAACCACCACTTATTTTGATCAGTAAAAGTATGCTTAACGTTTCCGATAGATTTTGTTTACGCTGCTACCACCTGCAGCACCGTTGCATGTGTAAGATCTTGGTACATATCAATTGTTTTTGTGATAATGTGATTTTCTACAGCATTTTCACATTACGTAAAATAAATACACCTGCAACTCGCTTCAGCTGACACCCTCGCGCGTGCACAAGGGACCAGGACTCAACAGGTCGAGGGACCTAACTGTGCCAGGACACTACACTTTTCACAAGCTAAGTTCTCTACACAATACTGACTTGTGTTCAACAGTCATTGTAGTCTTTCTACGGTTTACGAATCTCTGCTATTCAGGAAGTATGGCACACATGGACCTGGGTATTGAATCACTTAAGCGGAGGCTGGATGTAAACACTGCACGGCAAGTTAGCTTTCCTTACCCGGAAAGAAATGTTTGGATGCACAATTCTCAGAGGTATTGGATGGTCCCTCTCTACCTATTCGATAATTTGATCGTGGGTGAGTATTCCCCGCTTTTGGAGAGTGGATCAATGTACTCATTTTGAAGGGTAACTCTAACAGCATCAAACTTTTCCTCACCATTCACACAGCTGGTGAAACGATGAGGAACTGAACTAATCTCCGGTTAATAACAGTTACAGGTGATAAAAGTTTGTGGGTCAGTAGGGTTTTCCCTTGAGTGAACATGCACACTGTGAAACTTTGTACGAATTAAAGGAGCAAGCGCATAACCACTTCAAAGTAAAGCGAAATCCGGATACAAAAAGGCTGGCTATATTAAAGACATTGATTGATCGACGGAATCTCCCTTAGGATATTTTTCATCAAACTGACTTTCTGAACTACGTTGATCAGCGTTGTCACCACTTCATACGGCCAATAGTCGCGAAATATGGTTTGTAGTTCTCCCTATGATGCTCATTTTAGGTGTAGGATGATTTTGTTACTGCATATCCCCAACTGCCACTGGACTAGGCTTTCATGCTGTGAAACGCCAAAAGCAATGGTCAATTGTGACATAAAAATTAGTACACCCACGCCTTACTACTTTATACGCGAGCTGCCTCAAGGTTCACAATTATGTGGATTCTAGTCCGTCCTTTCTAAATCCATAGCTGATCATCTCACCACAAACGAAGTCTCCTCAGATTTGAACTAACTTTCTTTGATTTTCTGCTTTGAAGTCCCAAGGCCAGTCAGGTAAATTTTAATAGAAACCCGGTCCAATGGTCCCGATCATCATTCCGGAAGTTGGCGTGGTTATGTGGCGACCTTATTATTGTATTGAGAACAAGATGGACTGCTTTAACAGTGACAAAGTGAAGTACGCGTCTGAATCACTGTGCTGCTAGTCACCAGAATGGGATCAGATAAAAATACACCTAAATACACACTAATCGGACAACATGACTGAAGTTAAGCATTCATTCTCAGTGTCCTCGCCTTGTTCAGCACGGTCACTTGCTTTTCTTTGATATATGCTTACATTCATTGCTGTTGTGAGTACTAATCAGTAAGATATCTATCCAACAGTTGAATGACCTGTGTCTTTTACTTCACAGGGTACGTGTCCTCATTTAGTCCCGCTAGCATGTGCTTTCCTCTTTTATTTGGCCCAGGATGGTCATCTGGGGGATATTTCTAAGCCATGATCGGCGCTTGTATAACATTCAGCCGAAAGGAGACGGGACGGACAGTATGTTTTGGTATTTGACTACGCCGGCTTCTCTACACTCATGCGAGCTTCCCGTGTGCCCTACGCTCTGAAAGAAGCCATCTTAAACTCGACATATTTTTTCCTGTATGAGTGTAACAGTAGTACGACTGGCCTCCCTGTCCATGAAATCATGTCTACTGTTGAAGTTATTACTCCTGGTCTGGAAGTTACAACTATGGCCCTTGACTTTAGAACTCCTTCCGTTCCATTGAAATGGTTCAGTCCGATCCTTTGAGATAATGTAACACTTCCTGGTAAACGACAGCCAGATAAATAGTGCAAATATTCGGAACCGGAAGTAACCTTCCTATGTTCCCACGCCAATTTCGAACTGTTTTTTTCACAGCTGTATACTGAGGACCTCATAAAGGATTGAAGGGGTTTAACAATGTCGACATTTTTCGAGAAATACAATCATTTGCAAATCAATTTGGTTTTCACGAGAGACTCAACTGAATCTCTCTTTAATGATATTCTACAACTGAATGTGCTGTACCCAAGCCGCCTCATGTTTCAGTTGGTACGATATCCGGGATATAGCCTACCTGATGAGCCCTAAGAAGGGCGAAACCGGTCGTGGGCTGTGGAAGAGTTTTCAGCAACCTTGTGAGTAGTTTCCTCTATAAAAATGTTGACCGTCTTTTTTGAGAGATCCGAACGGCTGCAGAACTGTACACAGCGCTTCCCTACGCATTGAGCCAAACAGTTTCATGATTTTTATGAATAGAGTTTATAGCGGCTGGTTCGCTCTGCGCATTCTTATTTCAGCCGATGCGCCGCAATATATATATATATATATATATATCAATGGCACGTTTACGTCATTTTTGTCAACAGAAATATAACTTCGCGCAACGTCCAGCTTCAGAATCTCCGAACACAGTATTAGGTCTTCATGACAGGAAAGATGTAACAAACGAGCAAACATCTTACTGCACAGAAAGTGGAATGTTTCTTTACTATATCTGCGGAATATATACCATATTCATTTTTTTTTATCACAGAGATCAGAAAACCGGTTTAATGGTACCGGTAGCCATAGGTGGCAGCTATAAAGCATAGTTAGGAAAAAAGCTATCCGCAGATCTTGCAGGTACACAGCTGTCTGTTCCTGTCATACAGGTGAAGGAGATCCGAAAAACGATTACAAGGAAAACATCTACACTTTGCATGACTATAGCATCAAGATAACACGACGCATCCCCATAAACGTGCCGAGTCCGGATCTGTAGCCTGTCCAGCAAAGTCACTGGCCCGCTCGAGAAGTACGATGAACAGACGTCTTGTCAATGATTGATATACTGCTTCTAAGTCATAAATTGTCTCACACAGCTAATTTTTCATTTGGGTACGTCGCTCATGTGGAGTGCGACTTAGACCTGCCAGTAAACCAGGTCACTGAGGTTGAAACTAAGCATCGTTTTGAGTACTTTGCATTTGAAATCGACATGGGTTATTAACTGACTAGAAACCTGCGTTAGCACGGGAAATTTGGACGTCCGAAGTTACGTCGTTCGAATACGATCATATAAGACTTGTGATCCTGTCCGCATTTCGCACACAATGGATAGAACATATGAAATCCATATTCACATCACTCGTTTGAACAATAGTTATTCTGCTTAAGCGAATTTATTCCTGTTAATCCGAGTCAAACTTGGAGAGTGCTGGGGTTCCGCTCTGAATAGAGCTCATTAACGCACTCCTTGGTTGTGTTCGAATATGAACCCCGGTTATCTGATATACGAGACGTGCTACCATCGCGTTACCACCGCTCCACTAGCACATGCTGGACGAACCTGACTTATCTCGTCTGGGCGGACGAACGTGTTCATGCTTGAGATATGTCATTCAGCTTGTTAACTAATGTGGTATCATAGCTTTCGTGAGCATGTCACATGGTTCTAACATTACACAAAGCTGAAGAGGAAGCAAAACCACAATGAGACAGTACTCCCCCCAGTGACCCGAACAACGACTTGGTGAGTGAATAGAGGCAATCTTGATTTTCAACCCAAGCTGAGAGTGAATGAATCCGATCCCTTTATATCTTGAATGACGTTCAAACATTCAATCCCGCAAAACGTGCCCAGACAAGCCGAATATACCAATGAAGGAGTTTGCACAGTTAGTTAGTTTGGGGGTCGCCCAACCTGCGAACACAAAATCTCTTCGACAACTCAGATTGATTCTAACCATGAATAAATTTCTTGCCTGGGTTCGAAATGTGAAATACACTTCTCTTTTCTCTAAACACCGTAGTCAGATAAACTTGACCTAAGCAGCGCATAGGGGAAATATTCCAATGAACATGACTTCATAAAAATCACTTTGCCCTCGGTGTACGAGTGTGAAGCCTGTAGTTGGTCATCTGATTATATTTATCGTCTAGAACCCGCTCATTCTGCTGTGTGTTACCCGACTGAAATCAGTCCATTATCTTTGAAAAATCGAAGATAGCACGTCATTCATCCTCATGACGGTTCGCATTCGATTCTTCCTCCACTATTCCAGGTCATTCGGAACTCAAGTGCAGTCCCATTCGGTCGTCCCCTTGTACATGGCACGAGTAGAATTTACTGCAGATGGTAGTATCAGTTAGTGTACCCTAAGCTATGAGGTTGAAACCGACGGGTCGTTTGAAAAAGGACAAAACATCTCAGCTGTCTTCGAATTCGTAACGGAGCGGCTTGGATTTACAGGGGCCTCATTTTGAGTTTTATTGATACGGTACCGATGTGTTCAGACTGATAAGAATAGTGTTGCATGCGACAAGATTACTAGTTAGTTTACAGTTACAAACCACATAGACGACTTCGCCCACGAAGGCAACTTATGCCCGAGGTTCTAGATGGTCTAGCCTTGCAGCACACTCTCATATTGTACACATTAAACCCATTATTTATGTATTCTTTTCTACCACTGTCACTAGTATTAGTATTATTGCTAATTATTGTCATACTGTTCTATATTTCACCATTTATATGAACCCAACAACAGTCGAGGAGCAAGTAGTGTGCTCCATCTTGTTTGAGAATTGCCCATCCTTGAAGGGATCTCAGCCTGATTCGCGGCGGAGGATAGCGCCACTTCGGACTTTTTGAGAAGTCCGAAGTCCAAGAAGTCTTGCTTCGAGAGTACTTGTGGTGGATTACTGCACACAGGTCAGCTACCCCAGTTCATGGGAAGGTTACTGCTACTATTTCATCATGCCCCACCTTCCTCTCCTCCCATTTATGGCTCATCAAAGAAGAGGATGAGGTCCGTTTGAATTGAGAGCAGTCGACTGCAGAAGAATGGAAATAACCGACTCCATAAGAACCCATTTTCGGACTGCGTACACAATTTTCGATGTCTATTGCAATAGTCTATAAAGATACCTCAACCGGTAGTGCTTCTAGAGAAGGGAAGCAGTTTCAAGAAGATTGCAAAACCGATCATTCATAAACTGCTTACACGGCGAGAAGCAGGCTGTATAATCTTAGAAGGCCTGCTAGTTCCGGTAATGTATTCGCCTCCCAGAAAGGAACGAGAATCGATTTCCCGAAGAACCAGGTAATAGATATGTGTCATCTTACTTCTGCTCAGTTCACTGGTGGTGCTGATCGACGACATTCGCGTTTGTACACCAGAACTTCACGACCATTCTAATTCCCCTCGCATTAGTCTGGGCCGAGGTTCATGACTGATCTTCTCGTTTGTGACCCACATGCAACACGATCGACTGCACTTTTCAGCTCGCCTGAAACAACGGCTGAGTAAGCGTAACGGTACAAAGAAACAAAGGGGATTTTCTTCCATGATGGTAAATTCGATAGTGGTCGCATGAGGAAAATATCAAGCAATCGACAAACATAGTCCTGTATAACAGCTTTGATACCGGTAAAACGGAGGTGCGCTTGTGCATTAAGCATAAAGCGGCGCATGCTTTGACAGAAAAACTCGGGATTCTCCAGCACGAGAAGAACAAACTAGAATCAGTCAATACAAGCAACAGCATTCGATTGCACGATAGCTGCTGTTGACATTACTTGATAGTTATCGCTTGTCCATTCATCAGGTGGCTCCCTGCAGTAAACACTACCAAGCACAAATACCTCCAACTGTCAACATATAAACCATTGATGAAAAACGTTTAGGCGCACTTTTTATCTCTGTGATTTTTGTTGTGCTTCACTTCGGGCCAGGCACTGAAAGCACATTTATTCTATTTTATATCCATTAAAACCATATATACGTAGGAGGAGCGCCATTTACGCCAGCACCACTATGCTCAGGCATAACTGTACTTCATACCGATATGTATGTCTCAGTCGTTACTCTCCGAAACCTGGTTTTCTCGATAACGATGAAATTGTTCCTCCTCGGCTGGACCAGTACAATGAGGTACCACTTCTCTGCAGAAACAATAACAGTGTACGCCGACGGCCACTGAAGGTCAGAAGACCAGAAGTGCATAAATACCCGCCTCCTCTATCGTGTACTCTTGAAGAATCATCAAGCACAGTCAACTTTGTGGGACACGAGTAAGCTAGCACGGATGGTTCGATGGGTCCAGTCATTCCGAACCGTCGGTAACAAGCATTCAGTTGACTACCTCGGACATGTCGATTAGCCTTGGGCATACTTAACTGAGCCTTTGACTTCGCATGACTTCAACTTCACTCATACCGACCACAGCGACTGCTCATCCTGAGAAGTGAAATATGGAGCTCTCCACAAAATGACTGTGTGTACGGGTTTCTGAACCGATGCAGAAAACACCGCAAAGGGCTCTCACTTGTTATATATCTCATGAAAACTCTTGCAAAGCTACCCGTCGCTTGCAATAACTGCTCTGTGGACAAACACTGAACAGTCAAACATGTGCAAATTCCTCCGTTCTCGTTAGCTTCCAAATCATTCACATGTTCCAAGCTGAAAGATCAGAAACAACTGGTGCGTTTAGCAATCTTGGACACTGCTACTAGTTTGGTCAATGCATTTATGCATGAGCCATTTTCCATACATCCTCACTTTGGAGAGAACATCCCGTCACCACGGGAACTGAGACCACACGGCAAGGGTACCAAACGTGCTCATTCTAGCAACAAATTTTGAACTGATAGAAAAGTTCCAATGATAATGAGATTAATTATGTCACCGGACAAGACGAATGAAAGGAACATAAAAAGAAGAAACGCCTTTCATGAAAAAAGGCAAAGCATCTGCCCTTTTGCCTACTCGTAAGTAGTT